TCAGCATTCGCGGGTTCAAATCTCAAGTGGGGTTTCGTTTGGTCGTTAAAGGTGTAACACATCGATCGGGCGCAACCCCACCTCCCTATCTCTTTCTCTTTCTTCTCCAGACCGACGGGCGCCTTTGTAAAGGCCGCCTTCATCCGCAGACTTAGCGGATTAAGAAAGAACTGCAACTACTAAGTCAGTGATCATGAGTTCGGTGAAGTTTTTTCAGACATATTTGGACGGAAGTGAAGCAGGCTTACTTTCCGAGATACTAATTCCAAAATACAAATGGCAGTGTTTTATAGATGCAGTTTGAAAACCATAGCTTTTCCTTAATGCGTCCTTTAATTTCTTAATATCGATCCTTTGTGCCAACTTGTTATAACGATTTTTCAACGATATTATCTTCCTTTTTATTCCAGAAATACTCAAAATATTGCCTTAAACGTCCGCTATCAGTTTGAAATTTTCATGAAGAATGGGACAAATATTATTACAGTTCCTAATGTTTTATATCTGCTTGAGTAGCGGAATATATATGAATCGCGACCACCTAGTCTGTGTTCGCTGTTTCAAATCTTAATGCGGTAAAGTGTATCTTGCTCGTAGCCACAAGGTAGTGGCTAAGGATGGGCAATAGTCTTAATGACAGATTTCTTATTTCACAAATCAATGAAAAGAAACTTGAAACTTGAGACTTGAATAAGAGCCGGGAAAAAGAATGTTGCGCCCTTCTGCGAAAAGGCTTTGTCACTTCGCTTACTTTTGTATACATTATCCTTATGACTTTGAAACCTAACTTTAAAGCAAATTTCAAATTAAAACAAATCAATTGTCGCGAATTGTGGTCGCGCTTCGGCTATGAATCATTTCTCTAAATGAATTTCTGTGACCTCGAAAGCGAAGGGTTTTTAAGCGAATTCGCTTTCGTAAACAAAGTTCTGATCGAATTAAAGATAGCGACAAGGAATAAGACACCGCTATATAGGTTCTTCTGCAAGTACTTGATGCCAATCGAGTCTATGAAGTGCTCTCGATTTTTTCGAGCCCGGCATACTTAAATACTGCCTGTGGATGTGTTCAGGGATAAAGAAATAAATATATAAACTGTCAAAATGCATGAAACACTGTTTGTCTAATAAAGTCAAAAGATTCGCAACTATTTGCCTCTTCGGAGCTAAGGTACCGTAACTAATGCAGTGTGAATTGCCTAACCAACCGGTAGTCATCGACCCACTATAATGTCAAAATTTCACATTAACACTCATCTCTTGCAAAAGATGTTAAGAAAAACCTCATAAACTTTGAAATTATTATTAAATGAAAAAGATTTGCTAAGAAGCGAAGCAAAGCGTAAAAAACTTGTATAATTTTGCTAACAATGTTGCATTTCAAGTGTTTGTTATACTCACTACCGAAAGCCGAAAGTATACTCGATTTATTCTTACGGTTGTAGTGATCAATGACGCGTCTCAGAAGATGGAAAAGGTTGTTGATTATTTTCAGATGTTAAAGTCATAACAAGCATGATCGCAAGTCTTCTGTACAGAATTGTAGAACTAAACTAAGCTATCGATGGGAAATTCGACAGCAAACATTTTTCGGAACTGGTGTTTGGTGAAAAAAGGTACTATACGTAACAAAACAAAGTATAGGCATTAGTTAATTTAATAAAATAGGAAATAGAATAATCGCCTTGCGATGAACTTTTATATAAGGTTGCACAGGTTTTCTAAATCTGGAGATGAGAAAGAGAAATAGATGGATAGAGATAGAGAGCGAAATGAAGGGTGATGGATAGAAAGAATGGGAAGAGAAAGAGATGGGGAGAGACATAGATCGAGAGAAGTTTTTAACCTCACGTAGTGAGCCGCAGTTGAAAGTTAAGTTTCGTAAGTGAAGAATCTTGGCATAAAACGGGAGTTTGGTCTCGTCCAGAGTTTTTAAAATCAGCAATGATCTACTTTTATTTAGTGAAGTAAGGTTTTCTTTCAATTTCGAATCAAGGAAATTTATTCATAAAGCCTTGTTGTGGCAACCTCACGAACGGTGACATTAGGCCATACTTCCTGTGTAACATAAGGGCATCACAGTATTGATCGCTACGCGCTATGCTAGTTGCATTTTTCTGTGTATTTAACACACGGCCCACACAAGCGGTGAAACGGTCGTGCGGTAAAGTAACCGTGTAAATCACGAACAACGTCTCCTGAGAGGTGCCAGGAATGGGAAGAATTGTTGCTCTTAAGAAAGACGAAGAAGTTCGCACATTTAATAAATTATTTTTTTAAGGATAATTCACAGCATCTTATATAGTACTTTAATTATCGCAAAGAGTACTTTGCCTATTTTGGATTGAATTTATAAGCAACTGACGCGTAAAATATGATCCATGCTTCCATGATGATGATGATGATGATGATGATGATGATGAACTTAACGACACTTTTGCGTAGTAAATATTTCTATTTGCAGAAGAACGCGTAAATTTATTACGCTTAGTTGAAACATATTAAATGGAGTTCTCTTTAAAGTCACTGCTAAGTTTACAACGAGGACAAACCTATTATTTGCATATTAAGTATAGCGTTATCTCAGAAATGCTTGTAGCAGATAGCAATGATTTGTATTTTTATATATTGCTTTTTTTTTATTTGTTTTTTTCCTACGATACACCCACTAGTGTTATATTTTACGGCTGGCAGATAAGCAGACGTGGAGCAATATAAAAATGAATTAATTGAATTATAGAGAAAAATATCTATTAAATGACTCAATAAATGGTATATAAATTTTGCACAAAAAAAAAAAAATAAATAAAAAAATAATCAAAAACGAGATATCTTTATAAAATAGAAATATCGAAATTTATTCGCCAATAAATTAGATCGAAAACAGACACACCAAAAAGTAATATCTCAACCAAATGCATAAAATGGAATAAAATGAATAAAAAATGCGCGGAATGCTGCTTTAAAGCTTGAAGTGTTATTTCCTGCGACACAGAGAAGTAAGCGAAAAAACCGCACTGTTGAATGCAGCCGGCTCAGTAGCAAAAAAGAAAATTCCAGTAATAGGTAAATAATTGCCTTAAAAAGGGCGGGAACCTTTTCAATCGTAATTTATGTGATGAAGTTTTGAACACACTTTGAACACACTTTCAGATTAAGGACCAGCCCTGGTAAGCGCAGATTTACTTGTTATTTACCCCATTTCCTCCAATCGGCATAAAACTTTGCGATTGCCCAAATGTGTGGAAAGTAGCGCTGAAAGTTTTTCTATTTATCAAGCTACCTCTTTTCTCCTACTACCTCAAAATTACTTTGCGAATTCATTGAGCCTTTTTTCGTATCGCGGTATTTAAAGACTATCAGGAGCAAATTACAGGTATTTGAATTAACTTGACATAGGTGAATTTCTATGTATACTCGTTTTAGAATAGATTTGTACATACACAAGAGAAAACATATACAACAACGACGTTTCATGATGGGGAGTTATAAGAGAAGTGATCGAAAAGGCGCTAAGATTCGAATTATTTTCAATGGCGTGCATGCTTTGACTAAACCAGGTCGCTGTACCGGATTCCATTAAGGTATCTTAAACATAGCGACCGGCAGGTTTAACACAAGACAACAAAGCGGCCCTGAATCGGTCGGTATGATAAAAGGTGCGTCTATCTCAAGTTCTTTCGGCTGTTGTATACATCCGCATAAACTTTATCTACAAATTAGAGAGTTCCTCGAACTAATCAAGGTTCGGTTGACGCTTCTCCTCAATTTCGTTGCTTTAGGCTGCTTAAGAATCTCAGAATAAAGTAGTGACTATCAAGCCGGTGTTTGTTGGTTGAAATCTAAATTCGACAGATCATATTTGCTCTTAGTTGCAGTAAGTGCTCTGTCCGTAAATTCGCAACACTTACCGCTCTCTTTCTTTTCCCTTTTGACGATCACCGCGTTACACAAAGTGATTGGTCATATTAAGAACAAAAAACCGGAAAAAAATTTTGTAGAAGAAATTTGTAAAATTTGTTCAACTTTTCTTTTTCCCATCACGGAGTCATGGAAGCATGAACGTATATATATACATATACTATTCTTCTAGTATTTATTGCTGGGCGGCTCATAAAATTGAAAGAGAAAGAGAGTCTGGTTTAATGACAACAGGTGAACCACCAAATACGACCTGACTCAAATATTTGGATATAAGGGATTGGATTATTGACACGCCCAAGGACCGGCAATAATAATATAAATAATAAGGCAGTGACTTCAGATGAAGAGGAGGACGATGATAAGCGATTTCTCCCAAGAGGTATATGATTTATCGATTTATTTATTAATAATTTATCGATTGTGGTCAAGATCATTTTTGATTTCCTATTCTGAAGAAATGGACATTTTTTTTTTGCGATATCTACGAGACAGAAAAAGCAACATTAAATGTGAAAACAATTTTCAGACATAAGTGAAAAATGAGGATTCACACAATCTCCATTCACGTACGTATCTATCATTACTTAAAGTGTGTTTTGCTATGTTCGAGGTACATAAAATTCTTTAATTTATTTATTGTGTATTGCTTACGTATTCGGGGAAGGCGCCACTTAGGTTAAGACAATCAACACAAACGTCAACTGGAAACAGAAATTAATTAGCAGTTGACTATAAAAAGACTCATAGCAAATCATGTCCTGCACAATATCAAGTTTAGCTTATTAACGCACGTAATTCAAAAATAGACACAATTGCCTCAATTTTGGTGGCACGTTATCATTATCTTATTTAGCGCTTTTTGCCTTTGCTTTGTCCATTTTTTTAAATCCTCGTTCGTTCGTCAAGCATGTCATTTAAATGTGTTCGTCGGCCTTTCTCATTTGCACTGGCATAAGATTTAAATTTAAAAATAACTTAACATAAGAAGAGTATGCGGAATATAAGTAAGAATAAGACTGAAAATTAATAACTTATATATATATGTACGTGCTTAGACGTAGGAATGCAAGTACTTACATCCACTCTGGAACGTGTTATCCTGGTATACGAGCGGTCACTTAAATTATTATCATTTATAAAACCGAAGTGACTATGACTATTATTATCAACATTTTCCACATCGGTGTCTTTTTCTGACTTGTTAATGTCGTATGCAACGGCGGCATTTTTAGCAGATGACGCAGCAGCAGCAGCATCATCATTAACACTAACCGAAGGGGCATCGTCATCAATATTATCATCACTGTAGGCATATTCTTCATAATAATAATCGGCATCTTGTTCTTGATCTTGTTCATCATAGTCGGATGCTGAGGAAGACGAAGAGGAAGACGAAGACGAGGACGAAGATGATGATGACGACGCAACTAAAGTATTTAAACTGAATTTTGTGTGCTGAGTATTAAAGAAGGGTTTTCTGCTGATTTTATGGCTGGCATCAGGCTGTTGTTCTTCATTAGTTTGTGAGCCGGTTACTTTGGTCATTTTCGTTGCCGAAGCTGCAGTAAAATATGAAGGCGGTAAAGGTGTTGTTGTAGCTAATTTATGCTGATGATGGCTGTGATCTTTTGGTAACGCACTGCTAAAGGGGGCGACGGTTGTTGTCGTTGTCGTTGTTGTTGTTGTTGTTGTTGCTGCTGCTGCTGTTGTTGGTGCTGTTTTATATTCCATGTTAAGTTTGTAATTCTTGCTGTTGTCAAGTGGTTTAAAGGTCGTTTGTAAGGTGGCTAATACATGCGGCATTTGCAGCATTTCCATTTTATCATCAACACCATCAGCATCCAAAGCGTTGCTATTGACTATGGAATGAATGGCTTCTACGGATTCGCTTTGATCTCTACTGAAAATGTTCGACGATGGTATCAATTCATATTCAGGAGTTTGCAAATGAAGGCGGTGATCATGCAAGTGCTTATGCCTATAGTGCTTGTTATGAAGTTTTGGATGGTTTTGATAATGCTGGTGTTGGTGTTGTTGTTGCTGCTGCTGCTGATGCTGCTGCTGCTGCTGATGATGATGATGATGGTGATGATGATGATGATGATGATGATGATGATGATAACGATGATTATGCTGAAGTGACTTATGGATTTTTCCCAACAATTCGGGCGGCTGCTGTAACAACACCAGCCACACAACCATCATTATCAATGTGCTATAATAATTAAACATTTTCAAAGCTGCTGTGCTAGGAGAAATTTACAACATTCGGGATTTTAGCTTAGATGGATTAAGAAACTGCACTTTTTTCACATTCTCACGTTTCATTATAAAAATATTCTTGAAAAATTATTTGATTATTTTCCAATTTTAATCGACATTAACGCACGGCAGTACAGACCAGGTGTGTAGTTGATTTACTATACAAGCAAGAGCTGTTGTCTATCGCCTATGAGAGTAACCATTATTGAAAATCGTAATCGTTGTAGGCATGAACAGGCATCTCGCATCGCTTGCGTATAAATGTGTCTGTTTGCGAATTAAGCACTATTTTTATTAATATTAAATTATTTTTTATTTATTAATTAATTCGTAAACGCTATGACAGGCAGAACCGTTTGGAGTAAGACCCAGTTGCATATGTTTTGCGTTTATTTTAATTATTTTTTTTATTTTAGTCTCTTATGTTTTGAAAAGCACCTTCAAACTTATGGCATGTATATATGTAGATATAATATATAAATATGTGTATGAATTCATATGAATTCATTTACACACATTTACGCGCTCTTGATATTTTTCGATATAAACACGAACGACCTGATTATTCGCCAGTTTTATGTATTTTGTATTTAATTTCTTCTTTTCTCTTTTTATATTATTTTGTAACTAATTTTTATTTTTATTAAATGATTTTAATGCACTTGAGAAGTGTTCATAAAACATTTCATTTTCAATTAAAATTAAGCTTATGTGTAAATTGTTATGATTTTCATCATCATCTTGTTTATCAGTTAATGAACCATAAACCGGCTGACCGGTTGCCGCATACATTTTCAGGCAGTCTTTTTACTTTACTCGCTCACTCACTTATTTACTTATTCACTCACTTACTCGCTTTTCATTCCTTTATTAGTTCGCGTTCATTTGTTCAGGTGCATTAGCTTAATTAATTACTGTTTACAATCTTTTGTTGTGATTTATGATTTTTATTGAACAGACGGAATTTCACTTCTACTTCTACGAACAACAGCGCGGTCTCGTACTTTGAATTATTTAATGCAAATATTTTACAAAATTTTACAAGTAAAAAAAAAAAAAAGAAAAAAAGAAAAAATTAATAGATATGCAACGCCCACTACTATTCTTCGCTCACTGTATTTGAATGAAGGTTATCGTGGAGATCGCCAACAAATACGCACACAAACTCATACACAATAGATGACTTCAATAAATATTTTGTTTTTTTTTTTTTTTTATAGTAAATTATTTTGAAAGGACCGTTGTTAACACGATCGATGTCGTGAACTATTTGTTGTAAGTACTTGTTTCGCAAGCCTTCAATAATCACTGCATTGAGAAAATAAAAGAAAAAAGTATTCCTGTATGCTTAATATCACTTGTCGGTTATGCGTAAAAACTAGCTGTTCGCCGTTTTCTTCTGTGTCTATAGAGTAAGCGAAATGTCTTTGTTGTGTAAAGAAATCGAAAACAAGCGCGTTTATGTTGTTGACTCGTTCGCTGTTCTCGCGTATCTGTAAGATACGACACACAGTCTAAGACGTTAAAAAATCCTATAAAATATATATTCAGGCCTTTTATTCTGCTTACCACAAAGTGCTCTGCCATGCGCCAACGTGCACGCTAACGTTTCATTACAGCTGATCATGATTGCTTACATTCTCTGTTTATAAGCATTTACAGCATTTACTCAGCCGGCTAATATGTGATACTCTTCTACTCATTGTTCGTAAGCTTTTATGTTTAATTTCTTATTTAGTGAGTGTTTAATTGAGTTAAGCTTGCGGGGATTTCCCCGGCTTTTTTTCGCACTTATTACTCTTATTTCCATTTAGTATTATTAGTTATAGTTTTGCACTCTCTCTCTCTCTCTGTCTCTCTCTCTCTCTCTCTCTCTCTCTCGCTTGTCTTGTGTTCTGTTTCCTATCCGAATCTCTCCAATTAAGTTTTTATTCATTTCGTATATCATTTGCGATACGTTTACCATCCCTGTTTTCTCTTTCATTAACAATTCAACTAAATCTTTTTAAATTGTGTTGATTTTTTTTTTTTATTATTTATTTTTATCGTCTGAATATATAAGAAATTAAAGAAAAGGGGGGAAAAAAAAACACAACATCACAAACAATAATAATCTCTTCTGCTCTGAGAGATTTATGACTTCTCTCCTTAATGTCTATAAATCTGTACGTACAAGTGCGTGTGCGTTTTGTGTGCAAATCACAATTCTAGTGCGACCAGTATTTTCCTGCATCTGAGTGAATGAATTTAACTAAGGAACGCACCTCTTAACTTGTCTTTCATTATTTTTTTTCCTCCTTTTTTTTTCTTTATTTTTATTATTTATTTAAAACTAAAACAAGAAAAAAAATTACTTTTTTTTTTGCAAAATGTTTTTCTTATGATAAATTATGATTTATTATGTGCTTTAGTTTATTATTTATAATCTTTTTCGTTGAGGACTTGTATCTCTTTGTGAGATACGTCTGTCTATTTAACATAAGTAATTATTCCACGTAAATGTTTTTTTTTCTACTTATTTTTCAGTCTTTATTATTATCAAATAATTACTTAAAAAATTTTAGAGCACAAATCTGTATTCCTCTGTCTATATTCGATAGCGAATAAGTCTAGGAGAAGTAAGTTTTTACGAAATATTTTGAAATAATTTTTACGAAATATATTAGTAATTAATATAAAATATATGAAAATTCCACTTATAGTAATGAATTTTTTTTTCTAATTAAGCTTATGCGGATGTACGCAACATCCGCGGGATAGATAGATGGGATAGATGCACATTTTATTATACCGAGTTTGTCTGTGCGTCTTCTTTTCTTGTATCAACCCACTGTAGGCAATTTTCGAGATATTTTGATGAAATTTGTTACATTGACCTGTTTTGGGCCAACGACAAACACTTCTGACAATGCTTCGAGTCGAACCGATCTGAACCGTTTTTATATCCTACATCGCTGTCGCACATGATATATTAAGTTTGTGCTGTCCTACGGAGCACTCGGAAAGGCTTAAGATATGATACGGATCCATTCAGAATCATTTTCTAAATCGAGCTAAGCTTATCTGCCCGTGTACACGTTTGTCCTTCTGCCTGCCTATCTGCGTGTACGTCTGATGTCTGTTCACGTATTCTTGCGCTCAACCCACAGAACTCCATTTGATGAAATTTGGTACACTGACATGTTTTGACCCAAGCACAAGCGCTTTTGAAAATGGTTCGGGCCGGTCCATCTTTTCGACCACTCCTCATATAACGCCTTGTTTTGAATATAACAATTTTGAAAGTTTCTCGTCAAAAATCCCTGAGTAATAGTCTCTCGCGTTCTAAACTGGTATGAAAAGTTTGGTTCGATTGTGGAAATTTTTTAAGGCGTCTCTTATATAGCTACTCCTACAGAAAATAAATCTTTACATATCTAAGATAAATTGAATTTTCAATATTTTATGGTGAAAATCGGTTTAAATTGACAAAGAAATCAACTTTGCCCAATTTAGACCTCGCAGATCAACTTTTTCCTTACCATCGCATGTAAGGATAATCAGGATATGCAATCCTGCCGCAAAGATCTAATTGTTGCTGTTTTATGATGAAAATTTGTTCATGACAGTAATTTGGAATAAAAATTAAGGGGACCAAAGGGGGGACCGTATAAGATTTCTCATGAATAATAAGCCCTTCAGAAAAAACATTTAATTCTTAACATTTTATGATGAAAATTCGTCCGCAGTAGCAATTTAGCAAAAACATTAATAATAGGGAATTTGGGAAATGTAGGTCCATTTCTTAAACTCTAAAGTATATAAAGGTTATCATGGAGAGCAAGCCTTTGTGTGGAGAGAAAGTCTATTTTCTAGTCTTTTTGACAAAAACTGAAAAGCTACGCAAAATTTAGGAATTAAACAAAATGTTTAAGCTTTGATGACATCATGTCATGTTTTGGACATTCTCCAATATGCGAGCTTTCATAAAGAGTCTGCCTTTCCACGAAAATAATGTGTAATTTTTGGTGTATTATTACCAACACGAGCGAAAGATTGCATTAGGCGAAATTGTGTAGGGTACCTAAAGGTCGGCCTTGCCCGAATATAAAGTCTACTTGGAATAAAATTCCGAAAACGTTCAGCATACCTATACTACTATAAGGAGTGACGTAGGGCATTTATCGGTGGTCCGTGGCCCGGTATAACGCTCTTTCTTGGTTAAGACATGAAACTCTGCTTGCATGATGTTGGCTTGGAAAGAGCTATTGTTCAACTTTAAACCGTATAAGGATGACCGTTTCAATAGAGCTATCAAATTTTCTTTCTGGGATTTCATACCTGAACCGTAACTCATAATGTAAATGCTAAGCAAATTGCACCGAATGCTGGTAAATCTTAGCTAAAAGGCAGTGCGTAAGCGCGTATTTTTAAGACGATGTGGTTTTTACATCTGTAAAAGTGTTGTGTTTCTTTGTACGTTTATCAAATGAAACATATTTCATCATCATATTTTTTATCCATTGCTTATTCATTACGACTTAAGCAAGACAATCGCGGTGTGTCATAGTTTGCGACGAAAATTCGATTATCACCGATTTTTGAGTTAGCAAAGAATGATTTTTCTGTAGAATGATAAAAGACTATTTACCGCCAAGAAAATATATAATTGAGTAAAGTCCACATTTTGTGTAAATAATCATTAAAAAAATTTCCTGACAACCGTCTAACTTGTCTAACAGATGTGCAATCAGCAAACGCCCAACAATAGAATATCTCAGGGCTTTGTAGTCTAAATTTCAATAAATGCTAATAGACCTCTTTAAACAAGTCGATAATTGAATAAATTGAAATTTTGTTTGTTATTTTGTGTATTCGGATATTTGGCTTAAGTTCATAAAACAAAAATATAAATATGTTCTTCAGTAAAATTTTTAAAGCAATCTATTAAAATGGCAGTCCAGTGAAGCATTGCTGTTGCCCAGTTTTGCATGCTTAGCAGGAAGTTAATTGGTTAGACGTTGTGGTGTGCATTAATTAAGTGCAAATTGACACTTTGTTCTCCGACATTGGGTAAAATGCGAATGACAACGTTTTGTGATATTTCAACAGGAAATATGTTTGACTTATGAAATATTTGTAGCACGACACCACGTACACTATTGCAATCGGCAACAGATTTGTTGGTTTGAATATATGTCTGTCGTTCTTATATAGAAAATCAGAAGGCACTTAAATACCTCTTTTCTCTATTTGAATTAAGCATGAAAGATAAATCGCAAAACAGTGCTAGACATTGAGTGAAATCCTCCGGTCTGATGACTCTGACAAGGAGTCGCTAAAATCAATTGGCCTTTTTCCTATGTCTCGGCTCTTTTGCGAGAGAAATTAGTCAAATACGTGGCAAAATGACTGAATCCCGGAAGAATTCAAACACAAAAAGTAGTAATGCAACTTATTGCAATATGCAAAGGGCTTGTGATTATTCCGACCAACTCTTTCTTTGTAATTTTCCTTTTCAAAATGTATATAAATTACAAGGCAGTTTGATTAACGCATGCATCATGCGGTGTAAAGTTAAAAGCTTGACCGAAGCAAAAGCAACACAAACAACAACAACATTTTAATCATGTGTCAGTTTGATTTGGTGACAATAAATCGAACTTC